TACAGTGGACTCTGATCTACAAGATTGTGTTATAATAGAAATGTTACTTTTAAAGCTGCCACCAGGCTCTCTGTTGTTTCAATGAAATGCTATTTCCCACAGAAGGGAAAGAAGATTTGCATTACTGTGCCTGCTGTTTTAATCCAAGTAGTTCATTTGGATGCATAGCAGTCAGCATAGGGGCTGGCAGAGGTATGACTTCTGAATGTTCAACTAGACGGGTTTGTTATATTTAACAACTATAAACATTCTTTCTAAAAATATCTGTGAGTTTTATGTTTGGGATGGAAGGGGGTATATTATTTTGCTATGAAATGGGATTTACCAGGTTGCTTTTGAAGCTGGATGATGCGTGGAACAGGGCAGTGGAAGGAGTCCTGCCATTTGGAAGGTTTGCATGGAATAGAGCAATATGGATTCAGTTATGAAAGATCCTGTCTTCCAAAGTAATCATTTTATACTTTGATAAAGTTACTTCTATCTTTGATGCTACCCCCCAGCCACTAGACTCATTAGCTGTAGGATAATGAGAAATTAGCCACAGAGAACTGCTTAATGAGGTAATCCTGAACTAATCATTTGGGGACAAAAAAAGCCTCTAAGTGACAGGGACTGCTGTAGCCTGTGGCCATACTCTCTGCCTTGTGTAATGTGTGTGGGTTTATACGGATATGCTACCATAAATACTTATAGCTTGCTTACCTTTCATGCAAGGAGGGATTGAGTCTAATGCAAGGGACAAAATTAGTGCTAAAACATTCAAGCTTCTGTTTTCCTTTTCAAACAAACATATGTTCTTTGCTGCCTCTCTAGCAACACAGCAGTGTTTTTTTGTTATAGCATATAGCAGAACTATGGGGTCTCCTTGCTTTCAGAGCATCTGGCACATAGGCCCCCATGCTGCAGCTGCTCCTCATAGTACCACTACCCTAGGTTGCTCCCAGGTTAATAGGATTATTTCAGGAGGAGCTTTTCAGCAAGCTGCCAGAATAATGCCAGAGGGAAGAAAAAGAAGACGATTTGCTTCCTCATAAACAGATCTTACAAATTTCAGGAAACATTTTCAGAGCATAACAAGGTATGCTCAGGCACTGTTTCTTAAGACACAAATAGCTTGGGGCCATAGGTTTGTGCCTTGAAGAAACTACTTCCATCAAGACTATAGGTTGTGCAAATGACACTTCCACAGCATCAGTCTCTTGTCCAATTCCTACCATGTCCCATACCTAAAACCTCATCTGAAGTACTTGAATTGCATTATGGCAGCCCAGCATGTACTTTGGGATTGCAATGTTGACTGCCGTGCCTATTTTGAAAAGACTGGTTTGCAGAGCTACTCAAATCTTGCTGAGATAGATTCCCAGAAATTAGTATGGAGACAGTCTCCCTTTCTGCTCCTTCCTTTCTGGCTTCATATATATTGGAAGGAAGGATCACCGCTGTTTGTAACTGCAATGTTTCCTGGGATGAATATTGTTTATGAAGAAGCCTGTGGGAAAAGTGGGAACTTGAACCTTCAATCGCTGTGGAGGAGGATTAGTCGGGACTCAATCAATTCCAGGAAAGAAACCGAACTGGCTGGCCTGGAACACATAGCAAAGTTAGCCAGTCAGTCATGCAACCCCTCTCCATTGCCTTGGTAAAGCATTAAAGTACCTTAAATACTAACAAGTGTTAAGGTGTGAATTTTCTTGTTCCCAGTAAAGGATGGGATGTGGGCTATTAATCAGGAGCAGAATCCTGTTTCCTTAACATATACATATGAAATGGTATGGATCAAGAGTTCTTCGTTACAGCAAGCGTCTGTGGTCATATTAGAAACTATCTAATCACAACCTCAGTTTCAAAATCCAGGCAACCACTAGATGGGAGCAAAGCAACACATAAAACTGCATGACTTTTCTGCCATCAAAGACTAGATGGCAGCAAAGTCATGCAGTTTTATTTGCTGCTTTGCTCCCATCTAGTGGTTGCCTGGATTTTTTATTATTATTATTATTATTATTATTTTGCAGCTTTGCAGCCCAGATATTATAAACCGACAAAAGCTAGTGTTAGGATCAGCTACTTTATTTATTTATGGATTGATTGATTTATATCCTACTCATATTTTATAAATACCAGTAATTCAAGACAGCAAACATATTCCTAATATTCCTTCCTCTTCCCATTTTCCCCATAACGTGCTTGTGAGGTAGGTTCTTCCCTTGGCAACAGTACCCTGTAGAAAAAGGAAACTTAGCTACCAGGGTATTGGAAGAATTAGAAAAGCTGTGCTATGGGAGGAAAAACAGGTTAGTAGTTGACTAGAAAACACAGCATTCTATTTGGGACTCAATTCCACACATTTTGGGTTAGACCAATGCAGGCAGGATTCCAAATGTAGATTATGGAACAAGAGTGTGATTATTTGTAGAACAAGAGTGTGATTATTTATGTCAGTGAACTGGTGTAGATTTCAGTTATATCAACAAGAGGCAGTGATTTGTTTTCATTGGACCCACATCTTGTTAATGTAAAAAGTAAGATAAGTTCCACCACGACTGAATGATGAAAATTCTCAGATTGTGAAATTTTGTGTAATCTAACACCCAACGTATTTTAGTCAGGCTTCCTCGTGGAACCTTTATGTAGCAAATGCACTTATTCATTCTGTATTGTGTGCACGCTTCTTTGGAATTAGGCCTTGCTGAATCCAGTGTGTTTTGTATATAAACGGTGGGATTCAGCCAGTTTGCACCACTTCGGGAGAACCGGTTGTTAACTTTCTGAGCAGTTTGGTGAACTGGTTGTTGGAAGAAATCATTAGGGCAGAGAACCGGTTGTTAAATTACTTGAATCCCACCGCTGTATATAAACATTCATAAGAACAGGACACAAGCCCCTTCTTTTGTTAAGAAGTTCAACATGGGATCCTGGCATAAACTTTGTATGTGCACTAGATCTTCTGATTATGCTATTCTCAAGCCAGCTTGCAATTTTCAGACATAGTGTATTTATGAATAAGAAATATTAAGGTTGAAGCACAGGTCTGAGCTATTGCTTTTATGTCCTGCTTGTCCTGCTTTGATTTAGTGGCATTTGGTTGGCCGCTGTAAGAACAGATTGCAGGATTCAATAGACTGTTGATCTAATCCAGCTGACCTTTTTCTGCCCTTCCATTTTTTATTCACTTCTCACATGTATTTTCACAGCAGAGCTTCCAGAAATATAAGAGAGTTTTTCCACTGTATATCTACATTACAATTTTCAGATTTCTCTGAAGATGGAGAGGATGGGAGGATGGTCTTGCGTCTTGATGGGAGGATATTCCATTAAGTAGGGGTCACAATTGAAAAACCTGGTTTATTTGTAGACAGATTCCTTTATAAGCAGTGCCCATAGCAAATGTTAGTGGACAGATAAAGCTTTCAGTTGATAACATATCAAGGAAGACGTTCCTTAAATTAAGCAGAATTAGGCAATCAGTAGTGTTATCTTTGAATTAAGTAGACATGACATGATCTTCACCCAGAATTCCTAGATCACCTTCATTATCCTTAATTATGTGATAGGTAGCTGACTATCGGACAGTTTCCCATTTCTATCTCTAAATAAAAATAAAATATGATATTCAAAGAATTTTTTTCTTTCCAGTAGCTTTGATGTTACCTTCCCAGTAAAAAAAATAAATGCTGCCACTGTAACCAGGTCATTGTTGGACATGATTCACTGGGCTGCTGATCATAAGGGCAGGTAGCTCAGGTAGCAATTATATATAGCAGGAATGGCATTGCATAGCCCACCAGATGATGCTGGACTTCAAGTCCCATGCTAGCCAGTGTATTAAGATATTGGGAGTTTCAATCTCCCCAAAACTGCAGAGGGACATACATGTATTGTTCACCCTGAAAGCTAGGAAGAATAAGGATAACTCTTTCATCCAGTTGTGCCCAATGTGGTGCTTTCCAGGTACCAGGTACAATGTGTTGGGCTACAACTCCCAGAATTCCTAGCCATTTATCCAGCAAATATTCTATTAGAGAAGGTTGATTTCATAATTTTGTAAGCCATTATCTGCAAATTCTTGCCAGGTGATGAGGAGCTTTTGAAACAAAGCAAAAACAAAAAAAGCGCAACCCTGGGAAAGAAAAAAAAAAAGCAGTCAGTTGGTCATTTCAGAGCAGCCAATCAGAAAATGCCTTGCCTGCCTTAGCAACAAAGAGCACACCAATCAGAAGAGGGTATGCTTTTAGTCTTGGTTTTCATTGGCTGTGGGGAGGGAGGGAATGAATAAAAGCAGTGGATGGAGGTGGGGGTTAGGAAAAAGATAGGAAGGAGCCTCTGCTTTCCTAGGCTGCTGACCTCTTTGTGTGCATGTGAGCTATATACCACCTTCAATGCTCCTCCCTCTCCATACTAACAACTGATTGCATTGCTGCAGAAGGATTCCTATGTGTCCATGTTGGCGGTGGGTGGATGTGGATGGAGGCTGTCTGGAATTGGGTTGCAAAAACAAGCATCCAGGTTGAGATGCATTGTGGTTTCAGGATTTGGTCCTTTCAGTTGCCGAAGGCTAGAGTGGGGAGGGCTTGTGTGCTGCTTCAGCTTATATTCTAGTTGATTAGCAAATTCTTCATGAGTAGGAAACGGTTAACAAAGCCATGCTTTGCAAACTATAACCCATCAGACAGGGCAGGAAATGGGCTGTTGCATGGTCTGATTTTAAACCCGAACCACTTATCTTTTATTTTTCTTGCCCCCTTGTGCCACCTATCTTTATTGTTCTTGTCTTGTGGCAAACAGTAAACACAAATACGAGAAGAGATTGCCCGAGATACTTAGCTTGTTCTTAGCTTTGGGCTCGAGCAGCCCATGCACACCAAGATAGGGTTAATGCAAGTTGGCCTTTGACAGATGCTTTTTCTGAACTGCTACACCCCCCCTTGGATGACTCACTCCCTTACCCCCTCAGTTCTTTAAGCCAGAGACTGGGGGTTGGAAGTGTGTGGGGGGGGAATGTTGTTAAAAGTATCATCTGTTCTTAGCTTTGTTGCTATAGAGACCATACGGTGGTGATTCTCTTTATAGCCACTTCCCCCCCCCCTCCCTGATTTTGGAAACTTGTTGTCCCATTCCTATTCAGCTCTCCCTTCTTCCAGAATTGCTCTGAGCTGTTCTGTCATGGAATATGATATAAAACAGTTTCCAGCAGGCTTTGCAAGGTTCTTATAAGGGAGGAGTATCTGCCAGTTTCTGAATAACCACAAGAATAGAAATAGAGTTGGAGTTAGTTATCTGGCCTGTTTGGCCCCTTTAACGTCTTGCCAACATTCTAAAGAGCTGCTTCTGCTTGACTGTAACATTTGCTGGACTGGGCTCAAGTTCCAGGAGCTGGTGGGCGTTCCTAACTTTGGTGTCATTTATTTAATTCTGATTCTTGGTTGCTTCTTGCAGCCATTACAAAAGGGGTTGTTTTAGCTCAGTGGCAGAACATGCATGCATTGCATAAGGAAGATCCCAGCTTCTAGCAGAGCTGTGAAAATCTCCTGCCCAAAGAGAGAATCAGGAGTTATGTGGGAGTGATGATCTGATGACTGAGGGGGAGTTCCTTAAGTTCCTATGTAATTCTAGCAGAATAGCCCTGTCTGTAGGGAGTTGCTGGTTCTTCCTTCAGAGATGTTGTAGCCTGTGAAGATGTTGTAGCCGATGGTAGGTTGTACTATCAATTGACTTCCAAGAAGCTGAGGTCCACCATTCCTTCCCTATTCTTTCTCAACAGATGGAAATTAAGTCATGAGGCAGTATCTTCTACAAGTGACTGGGAGGGAGAAGGGAGCCTGACATCGCCACAGAAGCCTTGAAGAGCCATGACGTCAACAGTACAGTCTCTGCGTTTCCCACTGCTTCCACATGAACCAGACCAAGACCGGACACATAGTTGTGATCAGGAGATTGAGAGGCACTATCAAGTAGTGCCCTCCGTTGTATGTGCCATGTGCTGCCTCTTTGGGATCATCTATTGCTTCTTTGGTGAGTGTGTTGTTGGTGGGGGGAGATGGCTTGTAGATTACTCCAGATCTATAGAGGACAGTTAAAGGTAAAGCATGTGGATTCAAGACGAATGTATTATTTCATTGTCTTATTGGGACATTTTAATGGGCAATCCCACTTACAGCCAGTCACAAGTTTTATTAACTGTGTAGCATGACAAACTTAACTGATCATAGGGGAAGGAGCAAATGTGTTGTGTCAGCTCTCTAATTCATAATTAATCCTAGTCTCTCTTTCATTGAAACGTTTTACATGCTCTGTTGCTATAAAGTATGGAGGGGTACACACCTGAAACACAGGAAGTGAGGAAGAAAGGGTCAGCCTCCTTTGATACATCTGGTAGAGCTTAACAAACAACAGCAAAAAAACTGGGGCGTGACATATTGAGCCATTTTTGAGTTGTGGCTACCTGAACACCCAAATAAACAGCTGTGTTCACAAGTGTGGTCAGACCTGATGAGGTGGTTGTATTGAGAATTGCTGTTGTTTTTATCTTGGCTGTCGATTATGCATTCATTTTGTGTCTCTTGTATTTTTTTGCTCATTTTAATTGTTAGTCACCCAGTGTCGTTTTTAGTCACACTAGATGCTGTTTTAGGACCTCTTTCCAGAGCACGATACTATAGTCTTTTGAGACTGAAGGATGCCAATGAGAATGTCATTTGTTTGAGACAGGTGGCCATGTAAATGGAATAAAATGAAATATAAAATAGTCTCTTGACTGAGGCTGATGGGGGCATCTGGTTCAGCCCTGTTGCATGAACATAACCAATGTATGTTTAGTACTAATGTTAAGACGCTGAGCTTGTCGATCGAAAAGTCGGCAGTTCAGCGGTTCGAATGCCTAGTGCAGTGTAATGGGGTGTCCCAGCTTCTGCCAACCTAGCAATTCAAAAGCACATAAAAAAATGCAAGTAGAAAAATAGGGACCACCTTTGGTGGGAAGGTAACAGCGTTCCGTGCGCCTTTGGCATTTAGTCATGCCATCCACATGACCATGGAGACGTCTTCAGACAGCGCTGGCTCTTCAGCTTTGAAACGGCGATGAGCACCGCCCCCTAGAGTCGGGAACGACTAGCACATATGTGCAAGGGGAACTTTTACCGTTACCTAATGAAACTCAGGTTTCTGAACTGTTCTGGCCAATATCCTCCTGTGGCTACATTCCTAACTATAGCAAACTCTATGACTGAGTCCCTGGATAAATGTAAAAAGCCCTAGAAGGAAACATTCAGAGTGACAGCTCTGTGCTTCCAATTACACATTACAGAGGATCTGAAATGTTCAAGGAAAGGATATAAAGTCCACTTTTTAAAACCCCAAATATCCCTTAGTAATGTATAATAAAAGGTATGCATGTATAAAAAGAGAGCATGCAAACTGTCATACACATGCACAAATGCTCACAAACACAGGTCTCCAAATGGAATGGGAATCATTCTGCTTTGCTAGAGCAAACAATTGGGTAACCTATCCTATCCCCCTTATCATTTTTCTTTCATTCTTTCCTTAGGATACCGATGCTTCAAAGCAGTGATGTTCCTGACTGGGCTGATGTTTGGCTCAGTAATCATCTTCATGTTGTGTTACAAAGAGCGGGTGCTGGACACTCAGCTAAGCGTGGAGGCCTCTGTGGGCATTGGCCTGGGCATTGGCGTGCTCTGCGGGCTAGTCACCATGCTGGTACGCAGTGTCGGGCTGTTCATGGTTGGGCTGCTGCTGGGGCTACTACTGGCGGTAGCTACACTGGTAGTGATGGAGCAGTTCTACCACCCACCTACTGTCTGGATTCCCATTGGCTTATTGCTGGGGGTGGGCATGCTGTGTGCTGTCCTGACCCTACAATGGCAGCGCCTCTTCACCACATTGTCGACTGCTGTCTTCGGTAGTGCTGTCATGACTGCCACTGCTGACTACTTTGTTGAGCTCTTTTTGCTGCTGCAGTATGTTTATGAGCGTGTCAAGGTGGCACCTGCCCGGCCCATCTGCTGGTACAGCTGGGTCATCTTGGGTACTTGGCCTGTCCTGGCATTTTTGGGTGTCTTGGTGCAATGGAAAGTCACAGCTGAAGGATACTCACACACTGAAGGTGAGTGTGGTCTCATGGGGTGGAGAGCCAAATGGCTGAAAACAAGCAAATCAGCATTCAGATTAAATGAGGTTCTGATTAAATGAGGCCTTGTATTGACTGGTCTTGCATATCATACTTCATTAACCATGGTTTATTTAACAACAACAATTTATTGGGTTCTCCTCATACAGTAAGACCTACATTTAGAATGGATTACTCTTCCAGTTTTAAGGCCACATCCTACTCCTCCAACCATTGCTAGGATCACAGTTGGCATCATCTTACGCATTTCCGGGGGAAAGTGGAATGAACTGCCCCCGGAAATGCGTTAAGATCTTCGACCTCTGTGTATTTCGCTGTGCCCTCAAGACCTTGCTGTTCCGCCAAGCCGGGCTATCAACGTAATGATTTTTAAATTGGGTGTTTTAAATTTTGGGGGTTTTAAATCTGAGCCGAAATTATGTAATAATTTTAATTAATTTTAACTGATGTCTGTCTTTGTGTTTTTAATAGGCTGTACACCGCCCTGAGTCCTTCGGAAGAAGGGCGGTATAGAAATAAAATTATTTATTTATTTATTTATCAAAAGCAGCAGGATAGAAACAAGTAGCCCTGCCTAACTTTTGATGGTATGATTCAGGGAGGCCACTTTCTTTGAGTTTTAAAGTGTGAACATTAGAGCAGCTAATTTGGGCAATTATTCTTGGGTCATTCTGGCCTCATACCAAAGTTTCTGTAAAAGGTCAAAGCTTTCTGACTGGTGGGGTTCTGCTCTCTGTCGGATTCCTGTATATTATAAACAGTAGGACTGGATTTAATACGGCAGCTGGTGGTTGGGCCTAGACTTCCTGATAACAGCGGCTGGCACTGTTTTTATTAAAGATATCCTTTGCCCAAGGCAAAAAAGAATTGCTTGTCATACTTTTTTGTCAAAAGCAAGGAAGAAGTGGCACTGATAGAGCTCAAGCATTGCTTCTTTCAGGTGTGGCCCATTGCGTTTCATACCCAAAGGGCTTGTTCCAAGATTGCAAAAGAATAGAAGAGAACCAGAGGATTCTCTTGTATTTTTACTTAGTGTTTGGAGGGCCATCTCTCCATTTGTGCTTCCTGTGATTCTTCTCAAATACATCAAGTTTTTCTCTTTGCCGCTGTGTTCTTCATTACAGCATAATGAAGTTGCTGGGAAATTATATAGCAATTTTTCCTTATTCCAGTTTTTGTCTTTTACAGATTTGTCCTGTCCCCCATTGCTTTCTGGGGAGTTAAATCATGTCAAGTTCCTGAATGTGGAAAGCTTTCCTACTCAGTCAGGTGTGAATGGAGTTTGAGTGGTTAGGAGGGCACAAGACAACTTCCTGATCTTCTGGAGGGCATCTGATGTTATGATGACAGGGCAACTATGAAGGGGCAGCAAAAAAAATGTCAAAATAGTAGCTGCAACCATATGATGAGAGCTCCATCTTTTTTACATGTATTTTACAGATTTTCAACCATGTAGTTACAATATGCACCCCTGACTGATAAAGGGTGGGGATAATAGTGAAACACCTCAGGAAAGCAAATTGTTCCCATCCTAATGCTAAAGCCTTCCTGGTTCATTTAGATATTTAGCAGATCACCATTTTGGAACTGATTTCAGCCATATCTCAAGGATAAGAAGTTAAAATTACAGGTATGAGAGTGCTTTGCTTTTCAGAGATATTTTGCTCCCGTTCACATCCTTAATTCTGCAAATGCCAACATTGTCCAAAATTAGACCCATGCTCTCATTTCCAGCTTTACTTTTATATAAAAAAAATCATGTGACACTGCTACTGAATACTGATAGTATGATTTAAGGCTACTGGTAAATTGCAAAGAGGAGATGTCTCATGTGATTCACAGCCTGCCCAAACCTGCTATTGGTCCATAAAAGTGTAATATTGTTGTGTTGGTTTACTATCAATACTTGATCTGTTCCTTCTTTTAAAAACAAAAGTAATCAGGGATCACATTATGGAGATTGTAATCATCTAGAGAACACTGAATTGTCTGGTGTAGATTAAATGAAATTAACCAGTGAATTATATTTTATATAGCAAAATCAGAATCCAGCTAAAGCTGTCCAAATGAAACAAATACTTTAAGAGGGAGTGAGAACATATGATTCTATAGGCGAAAGGTGAAATAAAATACTATGTTGTTACAGGAACAGTGCCAGAAAGTATTTGGGGGAACATGATTCTGCCAGTTCTCTTGGACCTTTTAGCTTTTGACACCATAAACAACACCATTCTTGCAGAGCAACTGAAAGAGTTGGGTGCTGTTTTGTAGTTCCAATATTTACTGTTGGGATGTGCCCAGAAGGTGGTGTTGAGGATTTTTACTTGACATTAAGGTTATCATATTGACCTCTGGCGTTCTGCAAAGAGGATTTTAGGATTGAGGCAAAGCTTATTCTGGACAGTATTGCACTTCCCCAGAAAGAGCAGGTTTACAGCTGGGTGGATTTTTATCCCTCATGTGCCACTGAATGTGATTGTATCACATTCAGTGGCACATGCGCAGCAATTGCAGCCCTTCTGGAGATAGTTGGACTTCATTATTCATGACTTGGTTTCAACCTAACTTAGCTATGCAATGCATTTTATTGGGATTGCCATTGGAAAGTGTCCATAAATAGCAACAGGTGGTACATAGCACAGCAAGTACTGCTCACCTGTGCAAGGAACAGGGGTCATATTGTATACGCCTGTAAGGAAAGATCTGCACTTCACGTGTGTGTGTGTGTGTTTGTGTGCTATCGGTTACTGATGGGTACGAGTTAAAATATTACTGTAGCCCTTTGAAGTCCTAAAATGACTTAGGACTTGAATATCTGCTTTTCCTGATATGAACCTACACACTTTCTTAGATCTCCTGAGGCTCTTCTGAAGATGACCCTAGTGCTTGGAACTGTACTGTTGGGCATGCATAAAAGGGTCTTTTATTGTGTGGCTCTTGAGCTAAACAATGTGTTCCTCAAAAAGTTAAATGACTCTCAGTCTCTCAGTATTTAGGGTGTGGATACAAATGCATCTTTCACTAAGTTTTAATTGTTATTGCTATTTGAGAAATGATTTTAATGCCGTTGATTGTATTCTTTTACAATGTTAAATTTAAATTTTTGCCTTCATTTGTAATGTTAAATTTAATTGTTTCCAGCTACCTTGAGCATCGAAATAAAGGCAGAAATATAAATTGAAGATCAAAATAAGACTGGAACTATGGCATGTTCACTGATATGGTAACATGTCTGCACCAATATAGTTTGAAAAATACATTTGTGACCATAAGATTTATGTAGAATCTAACTTTAAAAGCATATTGACATGAATGTCAACTGAATGCTCTCAGTGTCAGTGGCCTAGGGTTGTTATTGTTAGAAGAAAGTCACACTGATTTCATCCTGAAAGGTAATATGTGTGCTTTCTATCAGCATCAAATGGAAGAAATGCCATTTTTACTTTCCATTTCTCTGAAATATGCATGAGTCCTCCTCACATAAGTACCCACCAATTAATTTGGAACAAACTTTAATATATGATTAAAGCTTAACTGATTAATTACAGTAATTAATCAATTACTATTTTAAAACTTTTATTCAGACTTTATTCAGGACCATATATTTGCCTTTTATAACTAAGCTACATTATTACGTGCAAGTAGCTATAATTGCGACTTGTCATCCTTTTTTTATAAACCCACTTTAGGGGAATGCAGCTGATGCTGGTGACAGCGGAATATGCTTAATTCTTTTTCTATCCGTTTCCTCCATGTAAATCCCTAATACCTTTTCTCCCTGAACTTTAAATGCGTACAAACAGTACTTATTCATTAAAGATTCCCCATATAATCCCAGCAGAGTTTAAGATTGGTTAGAGATTATGATGTGAATGTAGAAGACCTAACCAGGATGAGCCTTTGCTAGTGGGGCTGTCTCAGTTAGTGGCTGATCCTGGAAAGAGACCCGCCAAGCCAAGTACCTGGTCTCCAACCTATGGGAACAAAAGCCCTTTCCTCAGTCATGTCAACTAATGCCTCAGGACCTGTGTCAATCATCAACTTACCTAATTTTTGTTGGATGTCAACTCTTTTTTCATTTAAAAAAGAAATCTACAATAAAGAAGTTCCAAAATGGCCGCTCTCCCTCACTGGGGGCCAGGCCAGCCCTTTATCCTGTGGGGTCTCACACCACGCTCTTCTTCCCCCATAGTGATTATCAGTCGGCAGCAGCGTCGTGTGCAGTTGATGCGGATCAAGCAGCGGGAAGAGCGGAAAGAAAAGAAGAAAAAGCGGCCACATCCTCACCCCCACCTGCAACATAAGGCCCACCCACCTGAGCCGGCCTACCGCCGCAAGCCTAATCCTGTGCGTCGATTTGATGGGGATGTGCTCTCCCCAGTGAGTAAATGCCAGGGACTTCCTACACAGTGGTAGGGCCAGAGGAATCTCAGCTGAAAATTGCCATGAATAGGGTGGAAAGAGCTGCTGGAGGAAATGAGCTTGTCTCTCATTCTTTTCCTTCCAGGCCTCTTGTATTTCCATCATCCTGCTTACTATTTGTGAAGTATTTTCACAGTGTGGTCCTAGTTCTTCACTTTTTCAATACCCTTTTTTTGCAGCATGGATGTGTTTCTGCATCTACTGCTTTCCTGCCCACCCACCCACCCTGGCAATTAACTGGGATTTCTTTTGAAGTGTAAGGAAAAAAACAGAAATGGGAAGATCCCAGACCCATTGGCTGCCTATGAATTAATACCTTCACACTAATTGAGGAGTTGCGTATGTAAAGAAATGATGTTCAGAGAAAATACATTCCAGTTGTGGCTTTGGTGGTTGCATTTGGAAGACAGGAATGGAAAAGCATCTTTCTAACTCTTCAAAATTTATTTTTAACCAAAGAGGAATGTCTGCTTTTTACCAATATTTTTGTTCTAAGGAATCCCTCCCTCCCCCAAATTAAAGAACATGTAGCGAGTTTTCCATCTAATGATGATAGACATAATTATGCCAGCCAATGTTAGCTGACACTTTTGTAATCTCTGCTAACTGGGGAAAAAAATGTTATTCTCTTATGACAAGCCACTACGTCCCTTCTGTTACTGGGGTACAGTACCTAAATACAGCAAATTGCAAAATTGTTTAAAGTGGTAAAATGAGTGAAACCTCTAGCAGTTATAGGCAATAGCAGTACTGTAATAATTAGTGATAGCTCAGAGATTGTGCATGCCTTCTCCCAAGCAGATCAGGAGGTGAAGCTGGACTTACCCAAAGCACTTTGGAGCAAGACAGCAAAGCCAGTTCTTCCATATAGTAAAATTTCAGCGAGAAATAGGGGTATAAAATTTTATTTTTTAATCATTTAAAAATATTTCTTAATTTTTCTTTTCCCAGAGCTACATACAGAGCTTCCGAGAACGGCAGACAGGTTCCTCTCTCAACAGCCTCCTGGCCAACGCTCATGCCGCCATTGACATAGACTATGACTGTGGCTCCACTGTGCCCCTGACCACTGGCTCGGGTCCTGCCATGAGAGTATAGACCAGCACTTCCTCCAGAATACAAGTGCTATCTCCTGTGGTCACCTGGGCCAAGCCATGTGGCTAGAACTAGCATCTTGGTTACCACCAGGATCTGAGAACATTCTTCACTGGTATTTGCAGCCTATGCGCAGACATATTTCAACACCTCTCAAACCGCTAAACATAAGTGGAATTCTTCCTAGTGTTTCTAAGCCATCATGCAACAAGGGGTGAGGAAGGAGTTTGAGCAGGTGCTCAAGGCAAAGGGCTGAAGCGTGATCTGGCTGTAATCCACGCCTGGTCAGAAATGTGAAATGCAGGACTTGCGGGGGTGGGTGGGTGGGGGAGGCAGCTATAGAAAGAATTACTCATCTGGAACAACCCCAATAAGCAATGACAACGTTTTCCTATCCATCACTTCTGGAGCGGGCCTCAAAAGGAAGGACTATTGGATGGTTGTGTGCTCCCTTGCCACAACTTCCTTGCCCTACAGACTGTCTTTGCATGCACTGACCTGAAGGACTGTTTCAGGGCACAGGTGCCATGGTGTACTGTTAGTGGAAGCTTATGACTCAGTTCACTCCAGTCTGGTGGGAACTAGCCAGCTCAGGGAAATGGGGCCCTCGGGCCCTGGGCCCCTTGCCCATACCAGTGCCTGGCATTCTGTTTAAATGCGTGACTCAAGGAAGGAAGGGGAGGAGGGTGGGGATTGGCAACCTGGGCTGGGCTTTGTCACTGTTGAAGTATGCAAGCGTGAGTGTGAGTCTGTGTGCATGTGGTGGCACTGGAGAAGATATGGAAATGCGACTGGTATCCAGGCAACAAACCTTTCTGGATACCCCCACCCCCCTTCACTTCTGATGCTGGCAAGAATGTGAGGTAGTAATGGAGCTGGAGAGGGGGAACCCATGTACATAGTCTTGTGAGAGTTATTTGTATTAATTTATTATTGACCAAGAGTTGGGCTGGAGAGTTTTGCCAGATCCAGAAGTTGGATAAGGAAAAGGGAATAGGACCTTAGGCCCAAACCATGTTTTCCTATCTAATCTCACAAAACCGGGGGAGAACAGAGACAGAAGTGTTTCCCCTGCACTGTCGGACAAACTTTAGCAGGTACCACATTTTCAGTTTGAACTTCCACTGTTGTCTCTGGGGCTAGGGCTTGCTCAATATCTCCAACTTTTAAGGAAACTGGAAGGGGATGGGGAGGATTCATCAGCCATTTTTTTAAAGGGGAGGCAGATAAGGATCCAGCAAGGCTTCTCTCCATTGAGAAACTGCATGTGTCTGTCACCGATCATCACTGTTGTCACCCCAGAAACTTTGCACTCTTGTTTGTTTTGTCTTTCTCTTTTTTGTATATGTGCCAAACGCTGCCGGGCTGTGGCTGCGCAAGTAAAAAAAAAAAGCCTTTTAGGAGTAGTGCTTCCCTCAATGAATGTGCTACAAGCATCAAACTCAAACCAAGCCATGTTACTTATCTATGCAGATAGGACTGGAGACAAGTTAAGGCTTAATTTGGAAGGAGAATGAGGTCAACCCACATCTTAAAACAACATTTGTAGCAGATATATCTAAAGAGCAATCCTGAAGTTCTGAAGTTTTCCTTTGAAGTTTTCCTACTTTATTGGTAAAGGCATGACACACTCCAGACAATTGCTTTAAATTATCCATTTGTGTTTTTCCTCCAAAGGAATATCTTTCTTTTTTTGATTTCAGATCATCTTTAAGGAATGGGGTTTAGAAATAGAGATGATACACATAAAAGTATACTGCACACATATATATTCTGCACATATCTAGACATACCCTAACCCTTCTGATGAGCCTTTTGCAGCTTTATATGAAGAACGTGGGAGAAGAGAATACGGTACATACCATGAGTTCAATGCATCTATGAAGGGAAGTGAGTTTTATTGGGTGGGGAGAAGAAAGTAAAGTAGTTGGCCATTCAGTTGGTCTAAATTAGACCCATTGAAGAATATATAAAGTTAGAGGTAATACAGTTCCAGTGCTTTGTCTTTTCCCCATTGATCCAGGACCAGCAGATCATCACATCAACCAAACACAACATTTTTTTAAAAAGTAGAACTTAAGAACATTTAACAAAGCAGAACGTGTTTCCCATGTCATGCAGAAGAGGAAGAAGACAAGATGACTTGTCTTTTTGTATGTGATTATTCATACATCTGTCCAACTTGCTTCTTAACCTTTCGAAGCTTAAACTTTGCTCCACTGATTTCAGCACTTTCCTGATGCTAGCACTCTGTCAAAAAAAAAAGCAATGGTTTAGACAAATCTATCATGACTGAAGAACCATTCGACCACTTCCCCTTCCCTCAAATGTACATTCCCAGGGACAGGGATCTATAGTTACCCAGGTGTTGCTGAACTATAATTCCCAGCAACCCTAGCTAGCATGGCCAGCGTTGAGGAATCATAGGAACAGTAGTTCAATGTCAGATTTAGAGATTATCACTCTGAATTCAGTATTTTGTTGGGCCAAGTATATAACCCCTTTCATCTTTGATCAGTATCTCAAGTAGATCTATGGTAATGTGCAAGCCATGGAAGATGTGCTCCATTTCTCACATTATTTCTCAAGGCTCAGACTAGTCTTAACAACCAGGTTTATCACAGGGTAATAAAAAAGAGAGTTTAATGAATTTCACATATTCCCTGCGCCAGTGGTGGGTTGCCCCCGGTTCGGACCAGTTCTATAGAACCGGTAGTAAAATCAGCGGGTGGCTCCGCCCACCGACCCCAACATCATTAGGAAGCTTCTGCGCATGTGCAGAAGCGCGTGCGTGCAGCCCTGTTGTGAACCGGTGGTAAAGGTAAGTAGAACCCACCCCTGCCCTGTGCCCATCCAAACAACCCATCAGACATATTTACCTCGCACTGTGAGATGGGCTTTGGAACGGGCATTACCAATGGTAATCTTCACCATCCCACTCATGTTAGGGCTAGTCCTGCAGAACCTCAGTTTATGGACGTGTCCCACACTCTCCATCTGCACCTGCAAACCAGGCTGCAGCTCCTCCCCATTGAGGCTCCACTGGGGAGTGAAGTCTGGAGGGGCAGATATTTCACACTCAAACCGAGCCTCGGAGGGAGCCATCACTTCCACGTTCTTCAGAGGCTGGACCACCTGGATTCCCTCAGCTGCAACGGAAGAGAACAACAAAAATTTATAGACACAATAATAACATTTTGCACAGTAACAGAGTTGGAAGGGACCTTGGAGGTCATCTAATCCAACCCCCTGCTCACACAGGAGACCTGTACTAGGGATTCGAACTGCCAAACTGCACGACAACCACTCTCTAAAGAACGCGGCTGAAGTAGACTAACAGATTGCTGGGTGATTTGCCATGGATGAGCAAGTGTCCAGTTTTAAGTATCAGAGAATAACAACAACAATGTGGCTCCCTCCATTGTGTTAAAACTAGAGTAACAAGGCAAAGGTGAAAAACTGAAGAAAGGATGATTACTGCTCTTGTATGAACAAGACAGCTCAGTCTAGGTATTAAAAGCAAACTCAGCTGAGCATATAACAAAAGAAGCACCCTGGGGTGAGATTCTAAACGAGGAACTCTTTTTGATGGCTGCACTGCACAGGTTTTTATTTTGGAGGACTGAAACGGAAAGAAGAATGGCAGAAAGTAAACTACATCGTGCAAAACAGGAGGGAGAGGATTTTTTTTTACATGCTGGGGGGGTGGGGACCATCACATATTTATTTATTTAAAGTTGTCAATCCTCTTTGAGGGCTTCTGCTACAATTGTCATCTATTTGCTCTCTCAAACATTGAGAAGTCACATCTGGTTTAGGGCAGTGTCACTAAAATGTGATGGTGAAGTCAATAGGGCACCAGAAGCTGTCAAAAGGGACTTTCTGCCATGCCACTTCTTCCTCTTTGGCATTCTCAGTCTGTTGCCAGCCAGCAACACCTGCTAATCCTTTCTCCGTTGCATTGTCTTTGGAGTATGCCATCTCCCCTGCCTGTTGGTTCTTCACTGCACTCACAGCCTTACCTTCCACTAGCAGGCAGGCTGTGGAATGATCATCCAGGGCATCACAGGTATACAGGCCTTCATCTGCAGGCTCCACACAGTGAATAACCAGAGTTCGGTAACAATCCAGATTGCAGATCTCATACTTTGGCCCGGCAAAGATCTCTGTGTCACCCCGAAACCAGCGCACACGTCCTCGAGCCTGAGACACTGTACATTCCAGCGTGGCTTTGTGGTGCACCAGTACAGTTTTATCCCGCAGTGGCTTCACAATGCGAATCGGCAATGCTGTAGGAAAGAGCAGACCCAAAGGCTCTGAGAAGTTGGCTTCTCACCTCCTGACCCCTCTCCTGACTCACTTTTGCAAATTAATAAAGGAGATCTGGTTCCTTATAATACATTCTGAATAACCTGCACACACGGAGACATCCTCGGAATCGTGAGACTTTTGTAAAAAGGAGGAAAGTGAATCATGCCCATAAGCTCCAACCCTTTCATCATGATGCATCATAGCAACAAGACACTATTCTTCTCATTTGGCTACATAAATATAATTAACAGAATAACAAAGTTGGAAGGGACCTTGGAGGCCTTCTAGTCCAGTCTAGTCTAGTCTAGTTAATTCTGAATAATTCTCTATCCCTTAGTAAACCACTGAGAGTTATTATATTGGGGTGGGATAGAAATGCAACAAATATGAGTAATTCTGCCCTGACTTGAAAACATTGCTGTGCATATAAATATAATTTATAGACTTAACAAAGCAAAGCAGATTACTGGAGAGGGCAGTTTCAGAATATGTTTTCAGTTTTTTTCCTCTGTGTTCACATATAGTGTTTCCCAAGCAGTCTTTCCCAATCTTTATAGTTTCCCTGCATGTACTCTCATGCACACAGATGCACAGGGCCTGGTCCAGTTGCCTATAAACATACAATCCTTGTCATTATGTAGCATTTGGAAATGCACAATCTTCCTTCCCAGAGACCTTTATTTTTAATGTATCAGAAAGGAGATATTATTAAATTTGATATCAAAGAGCCATCACTTAAACCACATTTAGTTCTGAACACAGGAACGAAGAAAGCAAAATTCTGTTTCCGTCCTACTCCTGGCTCACTGTTTTTTGAAGCGTGCCTTGTGGCATCCCCTGGAAAGGTCTCAAAGCAGATTGGGGCAAGTATAGTTAGTAGTGCTCCCCTCCCTGCAAAGAGACAGAGTTAGGGTTAGGTTAAAGGTAAAGGTTCCCCTTGCACATATGTGCTGATCGTTCCCAACTCTGGGGGGGGGGTGTTCATCTCCGTTTCAAAG